GTAGATAACACAACACAGGAGGCAGTAATATACCATGACATAAATAAGTAGATAATACAACACAGGAGGCAGTAATATACCATGACATCAATAATTAGATAATACAACACAGGAGGCAGTAATATACCATGACATCAATAATTAGATAATACAATACAGGAGGCAGTAATATACCATAACACCAATAAGTAGATAATACAATACAGGAGGCAGTAATATACCATGACACCAATAATTAGATAAAACAACACAGGATCACATAAGATACAACAGAGGAGGCAGTAATACACCATGACATTAATAACTAGATAATACAACAGAGGAACACATAAGATAAGATAATTGATTGGGATGTCATCAGTCTTGAAAGAATATGTAAAAGTGATCATGATATGACTTTGTGTCATAATATCATTGGCACTAATTTTAAGCAGCTGTAAGGGAAGGACTTTGAAAAAATCACGTTTTTATATACTGAGTTTACATAAAAGTGGAATGGAAATTGAAAATAAATTTCAAGATAAATAAATGATGAAAATTAAATTTAGAGAAACGTTGCCGAGCGTCATATGTTAAAAACACCTTTTCCATTACATAGGAGCAGTCCCTCCTACCCCTTATTACGAACTGATAGTTGCAAAATAAAATAACATACAAATGTGATTTAACAAGACCTAGAAAACAAATAATATATGTCACCTGCGTGACTGATATTCATTTTTGATTAATATCAACCAAACTTGATAAGCATTCTTAAGGCCCCCACACAAATGACATATGGACCCGATCCCCTACATTACCTTCCAGGGGCTTCTCCTTGTCTCTTGTGCTATTCTACCAAACTTTAAAGGCAGCTTTAGGGCACCCTCAGGAAGTGAGATAGAGGTGTTTGCATTTGAAACTTCCCCCTATGTCACTGCTCAGGGACTCCTATCCATCTGTGTAAAGCTTGTCATGCCTTCAGTTTTTGAATCATCTCAATCAAACTTAGCATACACCTTCAAAGCCTCTTGGGATTGACCAAATAGAGTTGGCATTTAGATCTCAATGTCACCCCTGACCTGTCCCCCCACCTCATGTCATTTCCTGGTATCTTCTATGTCATTCTTGTGCATTTAACAGGTAAAACAGTTAGTTATTGAAAAAGAAAAGAAAAGCATCAGACACTTAAAGGAAGAGTATGTTGTTAATACTTAGCAAAAAATTGAAAACAAACGGGTTGAGCATTGTGTAGGAAAGAGAAAAGTAAAATCATTTGAACATTTGACTGAAATATCATGCAAAAAAAGAGCAACAGAGAAGGGAGTAGTGAAATATCAATATTCAACCAATGAATTGTTTATGTTTAAATGAAAAGCTACACAACTGAATATCTGTTTAGTGTTCAACACGGTATCTGATTTGTAGCACCTAAACCCTAAAGCTTAGCACTGAGCCACTGGGGAGCTTAACCCAAAAAAACACAAAACAAAATCAGGTGAGGATCACAATCAGAAGAAGAAGAGCAATAATCAAACAACAACAGTATAAAATGCATAGCATTATCAAAGGAAGTAGTACAGTAGCTTACAATTGAATATCATAAAAAAATAGAAAGTAGCTTTGGATTATAGGAGGAAAGGAGGATGACAGTGAATTATCATTATGTCTATGTCTTACTAAAACACTTTCAATTAATTATATTTACATGGAACTCCTGTAAACTAATATGAATGCGTTAATATTTATCATGCCATAATCACTGCTGTATTAACTTTCTGCAGCATTACATCCTATATAAATAATTTCCTTACATCATGTTCTAACTATATGAACATACATCTTAAACAAACAAAGCTTTAAAACATTCTAATTATACAAATTTTAAGAGAATTAATCTATTACATCTGTACAGTATCTTTTGTGAAGCTTTACTTTTATCCTGTTCCTCTCATGCTTTTTACTATAACTTGCCAATTAATGTAGTTTATAAGCATATTTTACTCTGAAGCCTTTAAGGATATGAATTTTAGTTGTTCAGCAATACTACCATTGGTTAACTAATATACTCTTTTTTTAAGCTTACTTAATAAGTAGAACAAAGCAAATCAAACTCCTTACAGAATATAAATGTCATCCAATTCTTTGGCAGGAGTTTGAAAGAGAGCCTTTGTCTTAGCTGTAGACTTTACTGCTGCAGCTCTACTTTTTCTCTGTAAATCACAGACATACATATATTTTAGATATATAGATACTATTTCTTTAGTTACCTCTTTAAAGTTAAATGAATTAATATAAAAGTATTACACAGTTAACAAAAATCTATAGCTTACATGAAACATATTTACAAAACTCTTTTGCATCATTAATTAAATGGCTTTTGTCTTTAGAAAAAGGAATCATCCAACATTGTTCTAAAACATTGCAGTTTAGGCTTAAACATCAAGAAGTATTGCCATGATATCTGAAAACAGTCTTAAAACAATGAATTTAACAGTTCTTTTTCAGGTTATTACACAAGCATAGCTTGAAAGCTCCCTTCAATACCTGAGAAAAAGTGTTATAAAATGTTATGACAAACAATACGTATGGTAGATATGAATTTTATAAAGGAAAACAAAAATTAAAATTGACTCTCTTCACTTTATCATTGGTTAAGCACTAAACGTTTTGATGAATTGTACAATTATGTTATAACAATCACTAAATGACTGCTTTTATCCTAAAAACGCAATAAAGCCATTACAATACCTGCTTAACTCCATTAGGAGCATCATAAGTAGCACTGGTGGTTTTCTGAAGCATTGTTTTTCTGCAAACAGAAGAGCTGTATTTCCAGACACAAAATCAGACAATACAGTTAATGTTCACTCTTACAGGGAATAAAACCCAAAGCTTATGAGAGAATTATCATCAATTTCTTATCAAATCAAGCAACATATATAGATTAGAACTAACTCATCAGTTGGGTAACTTTATTGGCCTTAAGCCTAAAAACATCTCACAAAGATCAATTAGGTTATAAGATTTAGATTTTAATCCAAAATCATAAGCTTACAATACAAAATGATCCTCATGATAAAAACTATATATATAAAATAAAATAAGAGAAATTATAGAAATAAACAAACATATTAAACAATTTCAACCAATACTGTTAAAGAAACCAACATTAACCCTTTCACTGTGTTGTGCCCTATAACATGATATCTGTTATAAAGTTTATGTTGTGTAATAAAATCTATAGAATATACTAACTTTTCTTATATCTCCACACAAATGTGTATTATATATATATA